ATAAATAAGAAAAATCACGGATTCGATGGTTGTTGTATTTGGTTATGCTCTCTTCCATAGCACACCTCTTTGCTTCATTTGAGAAGCCAGTATTCAGCAGTAATTGTTAATTATTTTTTTTGTCATTCCATGATAGAAGATACAGACAATACCTCTGAGCCGATGCAAGGTAATAGGACTCCTAGTTAAAAGCATCATTTCTAAAAAGCTGTTGTTTAGCCAGGCATCCATTTTGGACTATTGTATTCAACTTCTGAAGTTCGTAAGTGATCATTGTGACGATGAAAAGTATTACACTGAATCACCATCTGAATGAAGAAATATGCTTGGTCAATTTTTCCTCACCACCTTCTCCCTACCTCTCTTAAATTTTCCCACCACCTTAAAATGTCCTTAGAGACGGTGATGATAAAACCTACCTCTTGATAGCACTGCTGAGGGGTTGGGACTGTGCCTCTTCCAGTGTTTTGGTAAGAGCTGCACCAACTGTAGTTTCCTACTCTTGAGTTACAGATTTTCGCCCTAAGTGATGTCTTTGTGTCCCAAGCCGAAAAAGAAACCAACCAAACTATTATTCAAAAAATATTTTTTTTTTATCATTATTAAATAGCTGCTATGTGAGTAAAGGTCATATCACAGAGTGGCATTTTGCCAGTATGTGACAACTCATTGATTGCAATTTTTCAACCATATTAGTCTGGGGACACTGTGGTAATCGAAAACTATCCAGAACTAATGTATAAATAACTGCGCCTGCTACCCCTGTGCTAAACCAGCAAAAGTCTCATGCGCAGTTGAAGCCTTTTACAGGTTCGAGAGAGAAGGCACGGTCTCTGATACAGTATTTTTATACACTAGAGAGTGTTTCTGTATCGCGCCTCTGCATCCTGTGTAAGTTAGCAAAGGAGGAAAATCCTTTTGTTTGCACTCGAAGACAGCTCGAGTGTGTTCAAACTGTCAAATGTTGTAGTGTGTTCCTCTGTTAGAAATGTGACGTACTTCACACTTTTTCTTTATAGAAATACTAATATAAAACTCAAATATTTACTTGCCGTGTTTGAGTAAGAGGAGAAATGTCAAACCATTACACAGAACAGATTGTAGATTTTTCTTCAGAAAATTGTGTTACTGACGGAGTGAATAATAAATAATACAATTTCCATCACATCCAGGAAAAACGTACTGTATGTGCCATAGGGTGACTGTCAAAAACTTGTAATATTTTTTGAGAGACTCAGTTGCTAATATTGGTTGTTGGGTGGAGTTTTTTTTTAATTAACATGCTTCGTCAGAATAAAAGAAGACAAGAATTTAGGCATGAGCGAAAAATTTATTCAAAATCTAAAGAAATGTTAATAGTACTCATTTGCAAGTAGTCATGAGGCTTCAATGTTTGAAATTAGAGCTACAGCGTATTATATGGAAGCCACAGAAGAACTGTTATTTCTTCTAAAAATTCTGAAAATTGATAGTGGCAAATCAAATTGCTAATTATTCAAGTGATTAAGGAGCTATTTTAATAAAAAGGTAAATGTTTTAAACAAAAGTGAAAGACCTCCATTGAAGTAACTGTGTGCACACTCTCTCAAATGCTAAAATGGCCAACAGACAAAGTGCCACTATTTCTCTGTTTATGGCTTGGGGGTCATAGCAAAAGACAGAAATACTGTAGATTTTGTAAAAATACTAAGAACCCCTGAGAAAGTAACCGCTGTCTTGTTGGTCTGTAACACATTCTGATTTTGGTTAAAGAAGAAGATTCACATATTCCTTTTTCCTGTTCTCTTAGGTATTCCTCAAGCCTATTGTGTTATTGCTGTGATTCGAAAATCTGCTCTGTAAAATTTTTTACAATGGGCTGCACTTACAAGTTTGTGTGCAAGTCTGACAAGTTTTAAAAAAAAAAATCAAGCAAGCCATTGTAAAAATAGAAACATTAAAGCAATCTGTTATGCTTCTTGTTTACAACTCATCTGACATTAGGCTACTGAGGCTTATTACATGTAACAATTATATTTTGATTAGGATAGAGATATATACAAAAATACTAAAATATTTCTATTTCTACATAAGCGGGAGGTACCTTGTGATTTAATTTCCAAAACTTTATGTAAATATAAAATGTAAAAAAATGTAGAATTTAAGTTCATTTCTGTTTGTTTGGCAGTATTAATACTTATTACAGTTAAGATCACGTTGCTCTCCCAAACTTCTAACCTTCAGAGAAGAAGGGGAGAGAGAAAACTGTTACTGGCTTTCTGACAATGGCAGGGAGTGTGTTAAACCAGTGTAAAATTCAATTAAACTGTCTAGCCAGGTTTTTGAAGCTGAAATGCAGACCCTTTCAGTTAAGCTTCTTATTTTCCTGTGACCGACACCGGTGGATACTGTGTTATGCCAAAACCAACAGGCTGTAAAGCACCTTGTTTCATGCTCCTAGCTGATCAATATTTTTATTTTCCAGGCTTGCCCAGAAATATGGAGGCAGTATCACCTAACAGTAAGTAGAAACACCTTTTTTATTTTCTTCTACACCCAACCTATTTACTCTTCTGTGAACTGCTGACCATAAAATATAGACAAGGATCTTCTGCGAGAAGATAATAAACATCTGAAGAGTTTTTGAACTGAAGAAACCCATGAAACACTGTCACTATTTTTTAAACATCTTTAGAACTTACAATTTTGTTTTAATACTGTAATCATTAAACGAGCGCCTTGCAGCACTCTCTTCTCTCAGTGACTACATTTACACATATAAAGAGGGTTAAATTTTAAGTTGAGATGCATAGCAGAAGCAATAATCCCATCTCAGATATCCCAGATGCTGGTAATTAATCACTCTGTGTGACAAAGGTTTCTTTTTAAATGACTAAAATAAATCTCAGCTAGAGCGGCGATGTTAATTTGAGAAATACACTTTATAAACTTTTGCAGATAATTTATATTTGGTAAGGATATAGCTATAACTTCTTATTTGGCCTGCATTGGTTGATCTTTAATCGTTGAAACAAGAAAATAAAACTTTATGAACTGTATCAGTGTATTACTTAAGGTTTTTCCTCGTATGTAAAATAGAGATAAAAATAAAACAAAATGCATATAAATTTGGCTAATACCGAAGCCTGGAACAATATTTAACTGGTTAAGGCAATACACAATGGTTTGGTATCACAAATCTTGAATATATTTATTTATAAAATTATTATACATACAAACACCTTTAAAGATTAGGATTTTTTCTGTTCATCTGAATCTTTGCTGTCAGTAGTATCCAGGTCAACTTTGTATGTATTTAGCTGTTACAGATAATTAATCACTACTGTCCATTCAAAACAAAGTAAAAAAGTTTGTCCACTGCTTTTCCTTATGGACCTTTGGTGTGGGCTTTTTCTTTTGAGCAGTAAATAGAATGTGGTTTATAATTCGTTGCCTCCACCTCTTCATGGGAGTGGAATGCTCTTTTTTTCTGTTTTTGCTTCTAAATTCAATGATTAGGAGAAACCTGTGCTTAAAACCTCTTGCTTGTGTTTTCTGCATAATGATTTTAAAACAAAGATCTGCTTTGGAAATCCTCCACCCTTTCTGAGCATTTACTTTTATTTTAAACAAAATTAATATAGACTTGGAAAAAAAAAACCACACAGACAAAAAAAACACTTTATGAGCAAAAGGTGCATTCACTGAGTATTTTTGTTTGCTTTTCTAAAATTGCATGAAAGAAAAAGGCAAATACTGTCTTTCATTATAATCCCTAAGGGTGCATGTAAAAACCATTTCTGAAATGTTTATCCTATTTGGAATCTAATAATCAGATAGGTGTATTAGATGCAGCAATACATTGGGTTCTGTTTTTTTCCTGAGGTATAAGATTTAGTTTAATTTTTGTCTTGCTTGCCATTGAAAATTCCTCAAAAAGGGAGTTGCAATCAGCACTGAGAAAATATTTATTTTTGTAAAAAAGTAGGGGGGAGCTTAAACTTGACCAAGTGGTTACTAGGGCAGAATTTGAGGTATCTGAGGTAGAAAATTTTATCTGTGAATTTTGCAGAAACTGTTCTGAGTTTGCACCTTATTTAGTATAAAGTAACAACATTTGTCAAAACAAGCTCCTGTTAGAAAATGTGGTAGTTACGAGTGTATTATTGAAAGTACCTATTGGGAAATTCCTAGTGCATTTTAGGGACATTTTGAAATGTGGTCAAATATGGGCACACAAAGATAAATTGACTTTGAGTCAGACTCTAGCTACTGATAAATATTTTTTTTATTTTGGAGTGAACTGCGAATTATGTGCAAATAATCCACATTTCCGATACGTGGGAAATGCTTTACACTTCTCCATTTTTTGCATGGGAACACTCACTTTGACTCAAAGCTACATTAGTTGTCAGATTAAGCCTGGAATTTAAAGATTTGTGAGCTAAAAGACGTGCTTGATATTTAAAATAAGTTATACCTCAAGAAACTGCCTTGTCTGAGTTGCAGAAATGTCTGAGTCCCAGCTCTTGTTATTCCATTTAAATATTCTCTTTTGCACCCAAAGCAGAACAGAAGTAAATAGTGTTCTCGCAAGAATCAAAACTTCTGTTAGAATAATATATGTCGTGTATCTATTTATAGGATTGGAACTAAAAAGTTGAGATCTTTTACTCTCCTATCAGCATAGCAATGTTTCACTGTAGAATTTAGTTTATAATTCTCCTAGTTTGGAATAAATATTGCTGTATAAATAGGATAACTGTTTAAAAAAGATAACAAGTTTAAAAAAAAGTACTGTTATGGTTGTTGCTGTGCTGCAGAGGCTGCCTGATTATGAACAAACAGACTGAGGCTGCAGTGGGTTTTTCCTGTTCTTTAGCCGTGGATACAACCACTAGATTTAAATTGATTTTGGTAAATTGATCACGAGTGTCACACATGCAGGTACATAAAAGTGCAAATAAAACAGGGCATTCAGGTTTGTAATAAAAGTCCGTTTTTACCACATTGCTTACAGACAGCCATTACAAAGTTTGTCTAAATGTTTTGCATTCTGTAGAGTATTCTTAGTTAATTACTGTGAATGCTTGTGGAAAACCACACAGCCTTCCACCTTTCTCTTTTGTGAAGCTTTTGGTGATTTTATTCATTATCTGGCTCTTTCCTAAGAGATGGACTGCCATCTATTGACTTCTTGTAGCCCCTGCACAGAAACGTGGGTTGACTAGAACAATGACTAAATAATAAATCCATTCTGCTGTTATGGATGGTGGTAGGTTTTTGTTTACATTAGCTGTGGTGACAAATTTTGGCATGTTACAAATAATTTGTTATATGGGCAGAAATGTCTTATTCCAACCAAAATAGACTGCCAGTGCAAGAAATCTTATGAACAGTTGAAATGGCAAAAAGGATTATAAGTGGAATATTTTAATTTGCTTTTTGATAGAAAAAAGATTATCATATTGTATTCAATGAAGCTTAAATTTAAAGGCTCTATGATAATCAATGCTTTATAACTGGGTGAAGTTAGTTTCTTTAAACTTGTTCTTTCAACTCTGTTAACTAAAATTATTCTGAAAAAAAAAAAACAATCAAACTCAGCAGAACAATCCAATTCCCACTGTGGTTTAAAATAATATTTAATAACCTCTTTAAGATGGTGATTTAAAACTTTTACAAATCATTTTCATTGTGCCTGCTCTCTGTGTATTTCTCCTGTATCAGAAAAGGGAAATTATGTTTGTCAAAACATATTTTAAGTTTTTCTGCATATAGGTATCTGTTTGCAATAAATAGGACAGTTTTGATACGCGCTTACATTTATCAAAGGGAGTACTGTTATCAATTCAAATAATAACACGAGGACTTCATTGGCAGATCCAGGATAAACAGTTTTGATCATAGTTTACTGCAGCGTAAATAATAATACATGTGATTTTTTTCACAGACAAGACATTTGAAGGTCTTGCAGAGCTCTTTGTTCTAGATTATTAGGAAGCTTAGCTTACAACTTTGTCTTTCTAAATGCCAGATGCTCCACAAACCCAAAGAAATATGGTCTGTGCTCTGAAGGACATAACATCACATCCCCTTTTCATCTTAAGGATATTGGGGGTGCTCATAGCAGTGCTTTTTCATCCTTAGAATGCTTGTCTCTCTTTCATTTCCTTTCTCTTGTTTTGGATTTCAGCTGTAGAGACATTTATTTAGTATTTTGTACTCAAAAGGAGGCCAGTTTATAGCCCTCTGATGACAAAAAAAAGGTCAGTGGAAAAACTTGGGAGATGAAGGCACCCTACGATTTTCCTTCGTTTGGTTCAGTACTGCAGTTTATTCTTAAAAAAATACAATAGCATCCCTGTGAGTTTGACCTGTCGCGCAGTTGCCTAACCACGCATCCAGTGGCCGCCCTCAGTCTACGTAGGTCCGCGTGCTGGAGAAGAAGGACAATCTTGCTGTGCCCCGGGCTGAAGGGTTTGGTTGGGGTCCGCGACGGTGCGTTCTGTGGGGGACAGCCCTTCTCCCTAAATATGGGAGCTGCAGGAAATGTTAACAGCTCAGGTCTTCGGGTGGGTGGCGGGGTTGGAGCTGGCCTTTGGCGGGAGCACCGCACCGTGGAAGGCAGCTGTTCGCGTTCCGTAGCCGTACCAGCGGATGAGACCTCGGGTCCAGACCCACTCCTGTCCCATCAGTCATCCTGTGGCCTTGCTGCCAGAGTGACCCCATGAAGCTGAGGGCAGATACTGTGCCGCTGAGAGCAGTCATGCTTCCACCCAACAGATGACATCACTGGAGAATAAAGAGGAAATTTATTTTAAACACATAGTGGCCTATGTTTTGCTTCAGGCATGAAGCTGCGCTTCTTCGTGTGAGTTCCCCTGAAGTGTAACTGAAGCCCCTTCTGCGTGGTGGTACTGATGGGGGCACCCAGCAGACGTGCAAATGGCTATCTCGATATTTGACACAAAATGGAATACGTGCTGGCTGCACGCGGATCTCACTCTGTGTGCTGCAGTGCTGCATTGTTCAGGGGGACCCGTGGTGTATGAAAACGAGCATCACCAGTCCAGCTCCGGAACAAGATGTGGATGCAATAATCAAATAGGAATTAACGTTCTGCGTATTAGTATCTTCTTCAGTAAATATCTACAGAGTAATGGCATTCCATCCCAAAAATGGGCAGAGCACAATTTTTATTTTTCTGATCTTATTCTCGGTGTAGGTGCATATGTTAAAAAACAAATCCTGGTCAGATGAGGTGTTTTCTTTCTGTAGGATTGCTCATTTTTAATAACCTCTTCCTCCCCCTGTATGGTTCCGGCAGCAAGGACTCCTTCCCCCATCCCCTGCCTTCATCACTCTCATTTGTATTAAAGCTCCCAGGCCAAGATGGCCACCAACAGAGTTTTAGAACCATCAGAATTTTTAACTAGCAGAAGCTATCATTTAACATGCTTTTTGACAGTTTGTTAATCTTACTTTTAATCCACTTACATAAAAGAAGGTGAACCAGGA